GGGGCACGGGGCCTGCGCTGGGCAGCGCGCTGCCTTCGCGCACGGCCGCTGCCCGGGAGAGCCCGGCGGGCTGTGCCCAGCGAGCGAGCGGCGCGTCTCGGCCGCTGCCACCGTGGCGGCCGATCGCCCCCGCGCTTCTCTGCGGCCTGGACGTGAGCCTTGCGTGGTTCTAAACAGGTTTTGAGGACTTTGAAAAGTCCGGGTGTGTTCTGCGGACATCGGGAGTGTGACAGAGAAGCAGCTTAACCACATACAGGGGAAACGGGGACTGTACCGGGGGGGTTGTAGGTTCACCTGGACACAGTGTCTCCGGTGGGTGGTGGTGATCCGATTATTCCAGGTACTTGGACAGTACCCCGTAGGGAGTGAAACTTGCTACCGTTGCCCCTGAAGGGTAGTTTCTTCATCCCGTTTGCAAGTTCTAGACTCAGCAGACAGGTTTCTGTGAAATGTACTGCACGGTGTCACACACTAAACATCGCTGGATTTGTATCTGGGTATGTTACAGGACAAGTTTTGGATAACCAGAGTCGGGCTCCTTGGCGTTTGTCATCTATAACAGATTTCTTCTGGTCGATAGCAGATTTTGTGGTTCTGTTGTAAGTAGAAATTAATTCTTTGGGTGAGCTTTATTTTAGATTTGCCATAGGTAGAAGCTACTCAGTGCTATCGGTAACACAACAATAAAAATGTTAGATTTACTCTTTAGCGTTCTATATCTACTGTCCCCAAAACATATACGAATGCTTTACTGTGACTTTGTGGCTTTGGTTATGAAGCACTATACTATATCTAGTAAAAAGAAAAGTGTATGAAAAGTGATGGTAACTTACTGGCAGTTCAAATGAGTTTTCTTACATTTCTTCCATTTTAATACTACAAAAAGAAAAAGCGTATACTTTCATTAAATGGCTAGTTTCTTTTAGCTGATCTAATAATCGAGATATTTATTATTTGGAGTATTTCTACTTTTGACAATAGATCCTGGCTATGTAAGAATAATCATACAGCAGTAATCACAAATTTATGGCCCCAGATCAACAGCAGTTAAGAAACAATACGTTCTTTTCATGTATTCAACACTCCTTCATTATTTTCAGTTACACATTTATAATTTATGCATTTCTTACATATTTATTGCATATTTACCTGAAAACTAGATTTTATAGTTTGAGCCTCACTGTAATTTGGAATTACTTAAGATTTTATATTTATATATAGGAGACAAATTGCCAAGACTTATTAAACAATGATCTTGAGAAGAACACTGTTCGTTCCTGAACACAACTTACTGTTTTCCAGGCCGTTTCTTATCTTTCAATCCAAACACTCAGAAACTATATCTAGCAATCAATTCACCTAATTCCTGCTTTATTTTTCAGTTTCCAGAGCATTATTCAACCAGATTTGAGAAGAAGAGGCTACACATCTTCCTCCTATTCAGGATACAATGACGGAAGAGGGTATTTTTTCATACTCACACTAGTTCTGCTTTTTTTTCTATCTTAGCAAAATGACATCATGTATTCAGATTACAGTTGTGATTTGCATTGAATCGGGTCATGTAAGAAGACTAAAATGTTGTTTATCTGCTGTATTTTGTCTGAAGCTTAGTAACAATACATAGCTTTGGATAGCTGTAATAGCAGTATAGTCTAACTCTCGCTGAAACTGTTTTTCACACCTGCCTCACAGACAATATGAATCTTTGTTGAAATTCTTTTGTTAGATTTGCTTATACTCAGCCTTTGATTTATATTAAATCAGTCATTTCATGTATTAGATTACCTACAGATAAAGCAAAACACTCTGTTACAGGGATATCATTTCTATAAACGCTGTAGTTACTGTGTTTCTTTGTTCTTAATGGTTTGCCTAACTTTTTTTGTAGGACTGTGTGAAAGCTTGAGTTAGCTGTAGCTTTCTCTTGTGAGACAGCAGTAATTAGAACAGTTTGCATAAGAGAATTTTCATGAAAGTGGGGTTGGGTGGGTTGGGTTTTGGGGGTGTTTTTTACAGCTTTTCACATGAAACCCAAACAACTTTTCCAGAGCTTCTAACTTTCTAATTAGTATCATTTAGAGACAGTGTTACTATATTTCTAGTTTAACAGATTAATGTCCATTGAATAGATGTTGTTTTCCTTGATTTCTTTTCAGGCCTCCAGCACATCCTCGCCGTAGGATGGGTCGAATAAATCACTGGGGTGGAGGCCCCAGTCCACCACCAATGGCTGGAGGTGGATGAGGAAGGTAATTACAAATCTGTATCCTGCTTTGAACTTTTTTTTTTTTTTTTAAAGTTAACAATGATAATTGAAGGTTGAGGTAGAATGGAGCATTTTGTCCTCCTTTTGCAAAAGTTACCAAAACAGGAACAGAAACAAAATGGTTAGATTCTTTCAGTAAAGGGGGGAAAAAGGGAGGGGGGAGTGTTAAAAGGTTTTGGCTCATAAACGGTGAGCTTCTAATTTTAATTGTGTAGAAGTGGATACACAAATTGTAGCAAAGATTTTTGAACACAGCTGATAAAAAATTATAACCTTTCATGTTTTTTTGGCTGCTAATTTAAAGTCCTGTCCAGATCAGTAGTGGCTGAAACTTTGTTTGCATTTCTGATAGTTATCATATGACATATGAGGTTTTTTTAAGTAGATACTTCTCATAGAAAAAAAAGGAAAATTAATAAAGTTGTTAAAAGACTCTTAGTAAAAATCTTTTTTCCTGTTACAGTGATATAGTTATGCAAATCTTGAATTCTAGTGTAGCATAAAAATCAGAATTGCTTAAAAAGGGGGGCAAAAACCATTAAAAAAGCCCTGCTCTTTAAATTTCTTACAGCTGCCTGAACTTTAATTCTGTTTTATTAATTAGTTTGGCTGGTGGGAGTTTCATCTAACAATGTTATATATAGTATTGTTTAATTTACTTCAAGACTTAAGTAAACAATCCTCCTTGTTTTTCATGAATCACTCCTCATTGTTACCATAACAGAAGTTACAAGAAAAAACACACATGCAGGTGGCTAAGACTTGTAAATCTTGTAGGAGAAGGTTCATATTCCAAAAAGCACACGTCAGTATTTCAGTTCCCTAGAAAAAGGATAAGTTTCTTCCCTTTTTTTTTTTTCATTTGGGTGTTGGGTTTTTTTTTTCTTTTTGACTAGACATGAGGCCAGCAAAGGCTGTGGGGAAGGCCTTTGGGTAATAATGGCAATGTGTAATCTGTTCAGGAATAGAAGTTTGTGAGCCTTTTGCATGTCTCATTTAGCTAAATTAAAAACAATTTTATTTTAAAAGGGTTACTCACATAATTTTACTGACAAAGAAAGACCTTGTCTTCAAATATTACTTTATCTTTTAGGTAAATGCCTGCTGAAGAGGCAGGCAAAAGCATACACATTTGCAAGATGAAAGGGAAGAAGAGTTTAGTGGTGGACCAAATGAGTTTGAATGTTGTAAATGTGTATGTCTAACTGGAAACTGTTCTGTGATATAAGCAGATTAATGAAGTTGTACTGGGAACTCCTTCTTCAAGGATCCGGTGTAACTGAACAACAGTTTTATTAAATACATGTTTACTGTCTAAAGTCTTTGTATAGTTTCTGAACATTTTACTGTAGTTGCAAAGTAATAAGTAAATTATATTGGGCTTGTCACAAGGCTGACTTTCTCATCATTTTTAGAAAAAAAATATCTGAAGTACAGTAAGCCCTTTTCTGTTCCAATGAGGAAGAATATGTATTTATATTGGATAGAGAAGGTTCCTTAAGAGTCAAACTTAAAGCAGTGCTTCCTAATAGGTTTTGTATTTACTCTGTTTTTGTCAGTACTAACATTTTGTACTTTGGTATTAATGGTGCTCTAAAAACACTTTTGAAATGCAACTTACAAATTACTTTGTTTTACAATCCTTGCCTTTTACAAACTCGCTTCATTAAGGCCCTTAATGGACTTTATAACACGCCTGTTTTCTAAGCACCTCTTGAAACAGCTTCCTTCTCCATTACAGACTTACTCAAATGTGTAAGCCTATTTGCTGTACAAATTTTGGTAAGACTTTTTTTCAGTAAAATTAAGCTTTGTTTTTATTACATGATGAAAAAAGTAGGGAACTCAAGTACTGAGTGCTAACACAGAAGAGCTGTTTTCTTTCAAACAGTGGCTTAACTAATTTACTCCATTTCAGGATGGGAGTTGCTTATTGTTGTTCTTGAGTTTTGTTTGGGGTTTTTTTTTTGTTATTGTTCAGTTGGAGAGGGCTGCATCTATTTGATAAAAGATTATCTGCCAAGAATCCAGATTAAATTTTCTCCAAGGTGCCCTTGCAAGGTTTTTTTTTTTTTTTACTTAAACCTCTCTAATAATGTGTTTAGCAGGATGCCAGCAATGCCCCCTTGGTTAACAAGCATCTACTAACTAGCTGGCTTTTACCCGCTCGGGTGGCTCCCACTCCTGTGACGCATAACCCCACTCAAAGTTACCATCTTTCAAACTCGCGGTGTAACAGCAGCCTTCAGTCTAATAACCAGAGCTTCCTCAGCTCCGCTCAAAGGTCACACCTTCACAGTTCATAAAGGAACTCCCCGCCACCAGATCGGGTAGGTAGGGCA